TTCATTTTTGTTTATGAAATTAGGCATTATGTAGGAGATTCGTAATAATCGTGAGATATAAAATCAAAATATATTAAAAAGATATTTGCAAAAAAAAAATAAATAAAGAAATAGAGGAAATGTGCAGTTTGGGGAAAAACAGTCAAATTTGTGAAAGGTTTACTCAATGCTGCAAGGTATAATCTCAGAAATAAAAGTGAATTTTAGTGTTGCCTCATTGTTTAGCTGTAATTTTTTAATTGTTGAAATAAAGCCATATTGTAAGATGCAAATTTAAAATAGCAACACACTTGCCGTCAGAAGAAAACAGAATTATATACATTTTTGAACCTGCTATTTTGGGAAAAGTCTGACTTGCTAGACGTCAATTCTGAATTGTGAGGTATGAAATCAGAATTGCAAGAAATTGCACATAAAATTGCAACCTGAAATTGTAAAAAAAAAATACTTTCAAACTCCAAGTTGTGAGGTAAATTGCAAGAATAAAGTCAGAATTGGGAGATTTAAAAAAATAAATGTGAGTCTCATAACTGCAACAAAAAGAAGAATCAGATCAAAATGTTAATTTACAAATTGTTCATTTCTCGAAAAATGCATGTTAACTCAGAAGCAGTTGCAAACTTACTCACCGGCCACTTTATTAGGTACACCTTACTAGTACCGGGTTAGACCCCTTTTGCCTTCAGAACTGCCTTAATCCTTCGTGGCATAGATTCAACAAGGTACTGGAAATATTCGGTAAAGTCTAGATCGGATATGCGGCCGGCCGGAAGTGTGAAATGCACATTAATAAAGCAGCATTTTTTAATGACGCTGTATAACAATAATTAATATTTTTACAGTACTGTGATGGTTGGGTTTAGGGTTGGGTTGGGGGTAGGCGTTAAAAAATAATTTTTTTTGGGTAATTTAATAGATAACATAACTAATACTCGGTACAACAACTGTTTTTACATTACTGTGACAGTTGGGTTTAGGGTTGGGTTGGGGAAAGACGTTAATAAAAAACAACAAATGAGAAATTTAATAAATAATAAAAATATTTCTCGTTAACTTCCGGCCGCAAACGTATCCGCTCTAGCAACAACCGAAATATTCCTCAGATCTTTTGGTCCATATTGACATGACAGCATCACGCAGTTGCTGCAAATTTGTCAGCTGCGCATCCATGATGCAAATCTCCTGTTCTACCACATCCCAAAGGTGCACTATTGGATTGAGTTCTGGTCACTGTGGAGGCCATTTGAGTACAGTGAACTCATTGTCATGTTCAGGAAACCAGTCTGAGATGATTCACGCTTTATGACATGGCGCGTTATCCAGCTGGAAGTAGCCATGAGAAGATGGGTACACTGTTTTTCACAGACCAGGCAACGTTTTTCCAATTTTCTGTTGTCTGATTTTAGTGAGCCTGTGCAAATTGTAGCCTCAGTTTCTTGTTTTAAGCTGACAGGAGTGGCACCCGGTGTTATCTTCTGCTGTTGTAGCCCATCCGCCTCAAGGTTGGGTTGTGTTGTGCATTCAGAGATGCTCTTCTGCATACCTCGGTTGTAACGAGTGGTTATTTGAGTTATTGTTGCTTTTCTCTCAGTTCAATCAGTCTGGCCTCTGACCTCTGTCATTAACAAGACATTTGTATAAGCAGAAAAAACATTACTATTGTGATATGTTAGCTCAGAATTGTGTGGTATAAACTCATAATTGCAAGCTGTCAGCACCCTACGGAATGCAAAGTTCTGCATTAAAATGAGTTGAATCTATGCCCACCTATAGTTTCATTTTTTTAATCTAGATTAATCTCACTGTAATCAAGGAATTAATCTAGATTAAAATAGCTCATTTGAATTCTGCCAAAGGCATTCAGAATATGTGTGCTACCCAAATAACAACTAAAAGTAAGTCTTTGAGAATGGTTTTCTCAAGCCAGGTGGCACATTAGACCAAGGGCTCTTCTTCGGTTTTCAAAATTCATCACAAACTGCTTGAGAAACTGTTCTACTGTGATAATTGGTGATGAAAATAAATGATGTTCAATAAGATGTACTTGTGTTTACTGTTTATTCAGTTAAGTATGAATTTTTAACTGTAGGCCTACATAAGCTCCAAACTGATTTTTGATTATCTTTTTTTTTTGTTATTGAAAGTCATAACTGAACTAAACAAAAATTGAAATTAAGACATGTGGACTATGCATATATTAGTGGCATTATTGAAGTAAACACCGCAATCAAACTATTACCATCATGTAGCACTTTTCGCCATATTTTCCGACAAGATCTACACACGCAGCTGTCAGAAAAAGACCGCAGACACACACACACACACACACACATCGCAAAATGCGGAAGTTTTTTTCTTTCTATTTGGCGTGTGTTATAAAATTCCATAACACTCTCACCAGTCCTCACTCCTTATTTGCATCTAATACTACAGTTTGTCACGGGGGCATGAATGAAATGTTCATGAGTTAATGTGAAACTGCCGAACTGCAGTTAAAGTCACCCAAAATGACAGAAAACTCTTACATGAAAGCACTTCACATAAACACCCTAATAATATTATTGTCTATTAAGGCAAGTAACTAGATTAAAGATGTCCATGTGAACGTAGTCAGTAGTGTCTTCGAAGTAAGTGAAAGATCCAAAAGGGCATTCCGCTAATTTGATTTACGAGCGCTTTTTTGCCAGACGGCTCACCGGTCAGGTATACATCCGTACTAAAATATCAAGGTGAAGGTCATCAAAGCTTGCATAGAATACAGACCCAGCTTTCAACCCAACTTGAGAATAGATTAACCGCGATATCTTTTTATTGCCCGATAAGAGTCTTGCGTTAGCGCAGCACGTCAATAACGACCCACGAGTAGTTGAAACACTAATGTTGTGATACAACAATGTAGTTATATTAATTAATTAATATTATAAGTTATACAATTTATTTGAGAACTTACACCAAAATAATTTGTTTGGTAATTTTTACAAGGAAAAAGCTAAAAACTGAGATGGTAAATCATAATTAATAGCTCTAAACTAATTATAAACTAGAACTGTGAGTATTGTGTCTATAAACTCACAATTCCTAAAAAAAAAGTGTGACTCACCAGAAAACAATAAACTAAAAACATTAAAGAAAAGAGAAAAGGTTGCAAAGTTGTTCTTTTGAGATGAAATTTTCTGGCAGAAACAGACTTCTATATTAGAGGAGAGACACCTTGCAATAAATTCACTTTATTCACCTGTATCCAGTGCTTAAGAAAGCATCTGTCCTTGAACTGGTTGTCATTTAATAAGTGATGCTCGGTCTCGATGGCTGTTTAATGAATGAGATCATAGATCCGTGTTGTTGATGTGAGGCTGTATTTGCTGCGTCACTGTGCCTTGCTAACGACCAAACCATTTTTTAAATTTAGCTGAATCATGCCTCTCTTTCCCAGCGTGTCCTCTATGTACTGGCGAGCAAGAGGTAGAGCGGTGAGTAATCGAACAACGCTGCTTTTTACAACCCTACGGCTTCTCAATCGCTCTCTTTGTCTCTCACGCACACACTTGTTCAATCTCCATCTATCTCTTCCTCTCCTCCTTCATCTTTCCCCCCGTCTCGTCCGTCTGCCAAGCACTCACCCGTTCACAGCTGATAAGACAGGTTCAGAAGTACGTCAGAGGAGAACGTTAGCTGAGAGCAGGACAAACCGGACAGACGCAGGACTCAGAGCAGTTTATAGGAGGTAATGAGGGTCAAACCAGTGACTGTTTTAGAGGGCCTGATGCACCGGTGAGGAGGGGGAGAAAGGACTGCCCTCCGGAACGAGTGGAAAAAAAAAGCCTCAACATGTGTTTCTGTCACGTTCTGGACCTGTTAGACCATTGTTAGACATTGAGCCGGACAGGACTGTTTTTCTTCGGAGTCGTGAGTCCTGTGGCAAACAGAAGAGCGTATATTGTGGAGCATCTATCAACTTGTGATTGAAAAAGAAATGCGGATTGGGAATTATTTTAAAAGTGCTGAAGTGACTGCTTAATCTTCATCTTACCAGTCATACGGAGAGTCTCAAGAAGTTTCTAGAAGTGGATTTTGATTCTCAGGGAAACAGTAAAGGAGAAGGTTTCTGTCGAACAAATGACATCTTGGAGAAGGAGTTAAAGAAATTCGCCAACTTTTTTTTGAGCTGTTGTGGAAATGCTAAATTATTTTGTTATGTACATCTGGGAAGACAGCATTTAGAAATCCATTTTCATTGCCTTATTTGTTTTAGGCATCATTTTATTTTGAGAAGAAATCTTTGGGGACTATTTGGAGTTAAGAAATTTTCTTATTATTTTCATCCTGTCTTTCTAGGAACATTTTAACAGCTATATTCTTACCGTTTTTGTTTAGGGATCATATTTATTTTGATAAGAAGAACATTTTCGGTACTATTTGGAGACTATAAAGAACAATATTTTCAGTAGGTCATGTCTCCAAGGCAACACTTTAAAATCCATTTTCATTGCTGTATTTGATTTAGGTATCATTTAATGCTAAGAACTTTTTTGGGACTATCTGATGATATAAAACTTCCATAATATTTATATCCCATTGTTCCAGACAACATTTTACCATCTATCTTCTTACCGTTTTTGTTTTAGGTGTCATTTTTTTCATGCAGAATATTTTTGTGACTATCTGGAGATACTAAAATGACCTTGTTATTTATATCCTTTCTTCTAAGGTGATATTTAAACATCCGATTTCTTGTCATTTTTTTGTTTTAGGTATCTTTTTTTGTCTTGTAAAGAAAGTTGTTGTGACTATCTAGAGATACTAAATTACCTTATTACGTACATCCTGTCTTTCTAGACAACATTTTAACCTCCATTTTCATTGCTGTTTTTGTTTTAGGCTTCTTATTTAATCTTGAGAAGAACTTTTTTTCAGGACTATGTGGAGATACTAAAATACTTTATTATTTGCAACACATCTTTCCAGGCAAAATTTTAACATCCGTTTTCATTGTCGTTTTTTTTTTTTTTTTTTTTTTCAAAAAGAACATTTTTGGGACTATCAGGAGATACTAAATTACTTTATTATTTGCGTTACATTATAATTTAAATATAAATTTTCTTGTCGATTTTTGTTTTAGGTGTCATGTTTTCGAGAAAAATACTATCTGGAGATGCGAAATTTCCTTAGTATTTTTTCATCCTGTCTTTCCAGACAACATTTTAGCATTCACATTCTTGCCATTTTTGTTGTAGGCATCATATTAATTTTGAGAAGAACATTTTTGGGACTGTCTGACGATACTAAATGACTATTATTTTTATTCTGTTTTCCCAGAAAACATTAAGAATCAATTTTCTTATCATTTTATTATTTTATCCCCTCTTTCCAGGCATCATATTGAATTTTGAGAAGAAATTGTTTGGGACTGGAGACTGGATCTGGAGATACTAAATTACCCTATTATTATTTACATCCTGTCTTTCCAGGCATCATATTTAATTTTTAGAAGAACATTGTGTGATCTGCTGTGATAGTGTGTTAAAAGCTTCCAGGAGACCTGTTTTGTCCAGTAAACTCTCCTCGGCGGTGGGTAATGGGGTAAGAGAGATGGTGGTCACTCAGTTAGAGCTGGAGCTCTGTTATCAAGGGAAGAAGCTCAGAGGTTTCACCTGTAAACTGACCCGCTCTGCCAATGGCTTCTTGCCAGAGAGCTCCTACATCATCGCGGCGCAGGTCTTGCTGCCGTTTCTGCTGGGTGGTCTGGGGATGGTGGCGGCCGGCATCGTCATGGACATTGTCCAAGTATGAGCGATTTATTCTAGATTTGGTGAAGTATTTCTTAGATATTTTACTGTATTATTTTCGGATCATGTAAATAATATTGTTTTTCAAACAGTGTTGATAAGCATTGGTGATGCTGTCTTGGTTTTGTGATGGTGTCAGATGGGAATTTATTGTACTTTGATATATCCTATTCTAACCTTTTTGCACAAATCATAGTAATGTTATGATTTTCATCAGACTGCGTTAAAGCACTGTAGAATGGTTTGTAGTATGAGCAGGATGCTACCAAATTGATTTGAATAATATTATAAAATTTAGCATGTAGTGTACCATATCCTAAAACAGTGGTTCTCAACTGGTTTGGCCATGGGACCCACATTTTTACATGGTCATCAAGCCACGACCCAAATTTTTAGGAACTATAATATAATTTTAGCTATTTTAATTAATTTGTATTTATTTTTTAACATACACAACTAGTGACAGATAAATCATAAGAAATCACCAAGACTTACAAATAAACAATATTTTATTGTTATTTAACAAAATTTATCAAATTATAGAAATATTACAGAGTAAAAATGTCAAATACTGTAAACAGTGGTTAGGGTAAGGAAAAGTTAAGTTACCATTGACTAAACTGAAGTTACCATTAACTAAACTTTAACACTGATCTGGTTGCATTGAACAGAAACCAGCAAATTGAAGTAAAATTATTAAAATAATCATAACTATTTTTACAATGATCACCAGTTATTTGCTGTTCTGCTTTTGTGTGGGCTTTCTTAGCCTTTGCTACACGGGGAGCACAGTAAGATGCGCTGAGTGCCTGTACTTGTTTTGAAGATGAAGATGATAGGCACTTTTGTGATGCCCTCAGCTATTGGAGTCGTCTTAGAAAATAGTCCACAGGTTTGTCCTTGCAACTGGGATGTTTGGTTTCTAAATGTCGTTTTAATCTAGAAGGTTTCATGCCCTCTTGTGAGAGCGCCTAACTACATATGACACACTGAGGTTTAAAGCCTTTTTTTGTCGTCAATATATGTAAATCCACACTTTACATATTCGGGGTCGTACTTGTGCTGAAATTTCACATGCCAAACGGTACGGTTGTCGCACGCGCATTTCAAAATAAAAGTTAGATATAAGCAAAATAAGTTAAATATTAAACTTTTGTTGTTTTCTTTGATCACACACTCCGCGACCCACTGAAAATGTTCCATGTTCAGCCCACCAGTTGAGAAAAGATGTCTTAAAATGTTATTATAATATCACAGTATTAATCAAACTTTATGCACTTTTCCACGCAGATAATGTGGTTCAAAGTGCTTTATTGTTAGAAAATAAAAAATTTACATTTTAAACAATACAAATTGTAGTTGCACTTGTATTTTAAATGTCTATTTTTGTAATAAAAGAGCCTCTTTTTTTTGGTTTTGCGTTTAAAATTCTTGCTTGAACTCTTGAGTTGAACTCTGCAACTAGGAATGTGTTTTTCCCTTTCCAACGCGCTACTGTTATATTTATTGTTTTTCAATGTAAACATGCAGATGATGAACATGTGTGACCGGTACACTGACATCTTTTTTTAAAAGTGCTTTTTTTTAAAACTGCTGCGCATGTGAGCGCCATGTTTTTTAAGACGCCATGTCAGGTTAAAAGATCTTCAACTTTCAAAAGCTGTGCTGCTCATCACTGTTAGTGGCACAGCAATGGACCAATCAGAAAAACTTGGAGACATGGCAATTGCTGCTATTTTTACTTTGTAGCTGTTTCTAGATACTATTGTGCTTTAAAATGTGCTTTTTTTATTTTCAAATCATTCTTGAGTGCTGACTCACATTTCTAGAAGCAAAGTTCTGTGTGAATGGGCCCTTCCAATTAAAACTGAATATTGAGTAGGGGGTGGGGCTTTCTTTTTGTGCAGCATTCCTTCAGCAAACTAAAAATAATAAGGGTGTGGTTAAGAATGTTGTGGCTGAAACTGACGTCATTAAGAAGCACCAAACGAAGAAGCAAATGTTCAGACTCTGATCGAAGATTACCAAATTAAACCTTTTAAACATTTTTTAGTAATTTAACTTCTATAAGCACAAGATTAATTATTCACCCAAAGGATAACAAAAAACTACATTCTAATTTCAATAGTTTTATGAATTTTAGTTGGGGAAAAATGGTTGATCATTTTGGTTCCAAGTTAAAATTCTTGCTTGAACTCTGAGTTGACCTCTGCAAGATGTATGATTATAAAAGCAACTAAAGAAGTAATAAGTAAATAAATAAAAAAATAAATAAATACAGAAGCATTTGTTTACAATCTTAATTTCTCTTTAATATATAGCAAAGCATTGCTTATTCTTATTGCTGTCTAATAATAAAAATAATAATATTAATATGAATATCAATGATGATAGTAATAATAATAATAATAGAATGATAATGATCCTGTTTGTACCTAGTGTTGTTTTTAAATGTATTTATGAATAATGTTTTATTTATTTATATATTTTTATTACAATTTTTATTACTATACTATCACTAAGCATTCTTTAAAAGAGAAAAAAAAGACATTCACAACGATTAAGCAAATAATTTAGTTATTAAAGAAATTTTATTTTGATCTAGCACAAACTTAAAACAACCACATGTTAGCTTCGAGCAACAGTTCCCTGTGCTTCTGTTCTCCCAAACAGACATAGTTGGCATGGGCTGTGTTTTGTGTCTATTAATTGAATTGTCATGGGGACCAGCGAGACAGACAAAGGCTGTTTCTGGAGAGAGCAGAAACAGAAGTGGGCTAGATCCCAGGATGGCTTGTGACGTGACACCCTTTCCACCGAAGAGCCTGGACTTAGGCTGTGCGTGTGTTAAAAATAAAGGCCCCTGGCTGGCTGGCACTGCTCTCTTATCTGTTGATTTAAACATTACGGCTATTTTTAACTGCGTGAGTGGGTTTGCGAAGAGAGGAGCGCTCAACTCGTATACTGACACTTTGCTTAATATAAACGCAAAGCACAAGAAGCCATTCATGCTCAGTGAGTCACTGGCTCTTTGTCAGCTTGCTCATTATGAGCTGATATTTATGCCTTTGCTGATGACTGCTCCGTGTTTTGACTGTAAGTATCAAAATAAAAGAGGTGAAACTGACATCCATTTGGATTGATCTGTACTTTTCTAAAGTATCTTTCATCTCAGTTTATGGCCTGTACATTAACACGTCTCTCAGTTTAGAAATATTGACAGTGTTTGTCACATTAAGAGTGATGTATGGGAAAGCCAGTGCACTTTTCAGTATAAATTATTATAGCTATTCTGCTTGCAATTCATGAAAGTTTGGATCTGGTGTTGAGACTTCGGTTTCCAGCATGCAATAGGGGTCAGATGTGTGTAATGAGTGATTATTTTTAGTACTATTTGTCTTTTTTTGTATTTTCTGATTCGGTTGGTTATTTTTGATGAATCTTGAGTGCATTTTTAAGCTATATCTGTGGATTTATTTATTTTTGTTTTGCAACAGTTGTGGTTTGTGTGTTGGGGTTTCAGCGCTGTACAGTACAGAGTGAATGCCATAAACTAATAGTGATAATAAATCTGATTACAAAGCTGTTTGTGTGCACTGGATGTTTTGGTTGATTCATTTAGTTGGGGAAAAAAAAGGTTGATCATTTTAGTTCCGCATTAAATTCTTGCTTGAACTCTGAGTTGAACTCTACACAGTGTATTATTATAAAACAACAACAAAAGAATGAATAAGTATATAAGTAAATGGGTAAATCAATCAATCAATCAATCAATCAATCAATCAATTAATCAGTCAGTCAATCAGTCTGCGGACATTTGTTTACAATCTTAGTTTCTCAATCTATTGCAAAAAAATTTAATCTTGTTTCTGTCTAATAATAATAATAATAATAATAATAATAATAATAATAATAATAATCCAGTTTGGACTTAATGTTGTTTTTAAATGTAGTCATGAATAATATTTATTTATTTATATTTTATTACTCTATAAAAAAAACTTTTTGTTAAATATATACCTTTGTAAAAACACACAAAAAAAAAACACTTCTCTTTAGTATACTATTACTAAAATAATCATGTCTATATACAGAATGACTTATTCATTTATTTATTTTAATATATATTTTTTTACATTTATTTAAACTCACAATTGTTTTACTCATACAAATATTTATACTGTATTTTACAGTTTATTATATATATTTTTTTATATTTATACAATTTTTTTTGGTATCGGGTATGACTGGTTTAACAATGACTTGGATCTTAAAATGTCAGGACAATTTATTTTTATTGTCTTAAAGGTGCAGTATGAATGTTTGACACCAAGTGGTTGAACTAGGTATTGCATTCCTGGATCAAAACAAACGCAATTGCGGTTTGCCAGATTGATAACCAACAGGAGTGAGTCTGACTTTCGAACCTAAAGACTGATTTAAATTGTGTTCTATATCAAAGCAACGCAATATTAGGAATTTTCTCCATATTAAAAGGAGTTTTTGTCCTAACTAACACCTCAAATTGATATATTAGAAACAGCTTCTATTTCTTGCAGCTGAACAACAGAAAACTTTGACAATGATCATCTCAGGTACACCTCATACTTAAATGCTAACAATGTGAGTTTGAATGCTAGTTTACATGACATTTATCATTTATTGCCATATACTAAAAGCAGCAGATATTTCTCCTCAGATCTTGAAAAAAAACTGTTTGAAATTGAACTTTAGAACTAAACACATATCAGTGATTCAGCATGTACGTGTAACAATGTTAAAGAGGTTTAATATGTATTAATTAGATTATAAACCTTACCATTTCATGAGTGAGTGCATATTCTGTGCTTCTGAATGGCTGTATTTACATTTTTGTTGTGTTTTATCTGGTTTAAACAGCTCAATTGGCCTTAACTATCATCTGTGTGCGTGTGTGTTTCAGCATTGGGAAGTGTTTAAGGTGATCACCGAGGTCTTCATCTTGGTACCTGCTCTGGTCGGCCTGAAAGGAAACCTAGAGATGACTCTGGCATCTCGTCTGTCTACTGCTGTATGTAAAAATACTTGCCCAGTTGGATAAGAAATGCATTAGTTGTTTGCATAATAAAGTATATAATCTATCACAGGGTGTAAACCTTAGTGTTTAATGACCCTGAGATGAGTAAAAGTGTCTCGCCCATTAAATTAAAATGAAAACTTCTGCGGTTTTGTCTCTCCTCTTACTCAGGCTAACACTGGACAGATGGACGACCCCAAACAGCAGTGGCTGATGGTGACCTGTAACCTTGCACTCATTCAGGTATGTTAGTCACAAATGCTTTTTATTATAAATTTTATTGTAAATGCGTAGTAATATATCATTATGATAACATAATATATGTCTTCAATGATTTCCTGAAGATAAATACCAAAAAAAAAAGCAATTGAAGTAGTGAACTACAGCAGTCACGATCATCTGATCTTATATGAAGCAAGAAATCTCGATGACATATGATGTCGTATGCAGTTGCTGTAGTGCTGTCCCATTTCTTAGGGGTAAATTTTGAAGCACTTCCCTTTTACACTCGGTTTTAAGGGCCCAGGGGAAGGGTAGGGGTACAAAATAGAATGGGATTGTCCTTAATGTGGACCTGTCATTTGGTGGCTCCATTCTGGACAAGAGTTATTCACAACCTTGAGAAATGGCTGGGACAACCTTTACCTTATTCACCAAGAGTTTGTCTTCTTGGTGATACATCCACTCTATGGAAGGTAATATCTAAAGCACAGGCTGGGCTAGTCATTGCAGGATGTATTATGGCTGTGAGACTGGTGCTGCGAAATTGGAAGAACTCAGATGCTCCCTCATTGAAGGATTGGATAGTGCTGATGACTTGTATTGCATCATATGAACGCCTGTTGGCAAGACTCATACTTTCAATGAGAAATGGGGTAGCTTTACAGTATTTGTAGAGCATGTACAAGGAAAATTGAAGGGTTGTCATTTTGGCTGTCGTATTATTTTATATTTAATATTTATGTTATAATTTTTGTTTTTTTATGATAATTTGTTTACTTTATTTTCCTGAATGTTGATTTGTGAACTTAAAGTTGTGTGGGGTATAAAAGTTCAAAATAAAAAAAGTTTGATGACATAAAACTATCCCTTTAGCAGAAGTTACTCCCATAATTCACAGAAAGCATCATGGGAAGTAGGTAAAAAATGTAGCTAACCCATGGGAATCTTAGGATTGGTGTCTGTCAGGAGAAAAATGATCCAATACGAGCATGAATTAACTGGACAAACATTCATTAAACATTCAACAAATCTAAAAGAATATGAAGAATTACTCTGAGACTTGAGTCCTGCAGGAGCCCTCGGTCTTGAATAGCAAGAGCACTCATTATAAAGATGAATTTTTAATGAGGGTTTAATAATGAATGAAGCTGAATGATGAGCAGCTGTGATGGAGAGATTGTCTGGCTGTTTTTCCGCAGGTTCAGGCCACTGTGGTGGGTTTTCTGGCGGCTCTGGCAGCTGTAGGTCTTGGTTCCCTGTCCAGAGGAGGTGTAGAGCTGGACCAGGCTGCAGTCTTGTGTGCTAGCAGTGTTACTACTGCATTTGTGGCCGCTCTGTCTTTAGGTACAACACTCTTTATTCCTTTGAAAGCATGAAAGCAATATACAGTACACTACCTGACAAAAGTCTTGTTGCCTTTCCAAGATTTTTAGAACAACAAATAATAGCTTGACTTCTAGTTGATCATTTGGTGTCAGAAGTGGCTTATATGTAAGCTAAATGCCTCTAGATTATGCTTATTTTACCTAAATAAAACATGATCATGGCTTACTTTTAAATTATTTAATTCGGACAGTAAGGTCTGACTTTGCTTAGACAAAAGTCTTGTCACTTAACAGAAATAATGTCGGTATAGAATATAAAGTCATGCTGCAGTGGAAAAAAAATTCTGTATGACTCCCATGAGCTTGGAGAACTGCATCCATACATCTCTGCAATGACTCAAATAACTTATTAATAAAGTCATCTGGAATGGCAAAGAAAGCGTTTTAAAAAGTATCTTACCCCAGACATGCTTAATAACGTTCATGTCTGGTCACTGGGTTGGCCAATCCTGGAGCACCTTGACCTTTTTTGCGTTCAGTAACTTTGATGCGGAGGCTGAAGTATGAGAAGGAGCGCTATCCTGCTGAAAAATTTGTCCTGTGGTTTGTAATGTAACGGGCAGCACAAATGTCTTAAGACCTCAGGCTGGCAATGTTGCCATCCATTCTGCAGATCTCTCGCACACCACTATACTGAATGTAACCCCAAACCATGATTTTTCCTTCCCCAAACTTGACTGATTTTTGTGAGAATCTTGGGTCCGTGCGGTACTGCCTATGCAGTATTTATGATGATTGGGATGCAGTTCAACCGATGATTCATCTGAAAAAATCTACCTTCTGCCACTTTTCCAAATGATCAACTAGAAGTCAAGTTATTCTTTTTTGCTTTTACAACTGGGATTCACGACAAGACTTTTGTATGACTAAGTGTAATTCAATTCTTCCAGATCTGATGTTTAAAAAGATATAGAGGTGCGTGCAGATATTAAATGGGTCATGAGGGTTAATCAAATTTGGTTTAAACCAAGTAACCAAGCCTATATAGAAAATGTGCATATTATAAATAAATAACTTTTCATAAGTTATAGGAAAATCTGCATTTTGTTTTTTGCTCATTTAATTACAGAAAATATTTTTATCCAAAGGTTTGGACCACATGATTTTAAGTATTTTTTTTTTATTTAACAAAGATGCATTGTTGATTAGATATAATGATATAGACTTGTAATATTATAAATTTATTCTTCAGGAAAAAAAAAGCTATTGCACTATTCGTCAACTATACATTTTTTTTAAATAAAAATATGCCCACAGTTTCCACAAAAATATTATCTCAACAGTTTTCAGTGTTGGTTATAATAAGATATGTTTCTTGAGCAGGATATTAAGTGTCAGTGCAGACTAGAGTAATGACCTCTCATAATGTCCATAAAAATAGAAAAATTTAAAAAATAATAATATTTAAAAAGTTTGATTTACTGTATTTTGATAAACTGAAGAATTGGTTATCAAAAAGGACTTTTTTCAAAAACATAAAAAAATAACTGTTATGGCATGCAACATTTTAACACCTAGATTATGATTTCAGTGGGTTTTTTTTTTTTTTTTTTACATTTTTTATCATTAATTGTTTCTTAAATAAATGTATTTGAATGTTAAAATCTACATATTTAAAGTAACGTTTTGTAAAGTATAATTTACTTTATTATTATTGTTGTTGTTATTTTTGCAAAATACAGTACTTTTTTAAACTACTGAACTATTTATCAAATTATTTTCAAAATTCAAATCTCCATCACAGTTAAAATATATATATATATATTATCATAGTTGATGATTAATTGCTTAAGTGTGACTTCACAATAGAGTAAAGACTTCTCAAATGTATTAAAATGTAACATAACTAAAATAGAATATAAATATAGAAAATCTAGTAATATATACTATTCTATATTTTTCATCAGCTGCAGCTGTTTTCATAAAATACTTTTAAAAAAACTCAGTTGAACTGTTAATATGGCATGCAGCATTTTAAAGTAACAAGAAACACACCTAACCTAGACTATTATTTCACTGTTTTTTTTACATTTAATTTGTTATTATTTTTTAAGGAAAAGTGCATACAGTAGGTGAGAGTTCAAAGTGACTATTACCGCCGCGTCATATACCGCCGCCGTTTGAAATAGGAGCCGCTTTGTTTTTAGTGAATGACCGCAGTTTGTGAATGAGCCGCCAGGGGGCGCAAAGGGACGGGATGCGAACCGACAGAAATAGCCCACACAGCAGCCTTAAATATGCTATTGTGCTTGTAAATGAGATTAAACAATAAGTCAAAGCATTATAATTCCTTTATTAATCATTTAAAATTTGTTAACACGAATTATTGTTATTCTAAACTTTTTAAGTGCAAAGAGGATTCTTTTTGAAAAATAGAATTGAAGAAGTTAAAGACAACTAATATGAAAGCACAAACATTCAGTACAAATATTCTAAGTATGCCTAAATTAAAAAATTAAAGCAGTCTTTTAGCCTAGATGTAAAGAGATTTTCAGTGTTTGCTATTTTGGTAGGACTAACACAAGACCTTTTCATTTATGTTTTAATTTACCTTTTTATTTACATTTTCGTTGTTGATTATATTTTACTATTTAATTTTATGTCACAATTATTGTACATAATAATAAACGAATAATGAAAAATAATAAAAATAGGCCTTATGTATTTAAGGACATGTGGTGAAACACTAAGAAACGGTCAGGCGCATGCATGGTCTAAAGAGCTTAAGTTGAATACTGCTTCATAAAATAATTTTGCCGCAGGACATATCTCGCAGGTTTATTTTTAATAGTTTTCAGTTATTTTTTTTTGTTTCAAAACAACAATGTTCTCTTTAAAGTTCTCTTTAAAGTATAACTGTTGTTTTGTTTTTTTACTTAATGGCCCAGTATGTTTTGTATTTTAATTTCAATTTCAGTCACCTTGCATATGCATTTGAAATATAATGCGCGCATAACCGCGGAAAGAAAAAAAAACTGTCAAAGGTTAGAGCTAATTCATCAAAGCATTCTGCTTTCACTCTCCCCAAAAAATGCTCTGTTTGAACGATTTAATTATTATCATCGTAACCACTATATAATTATTTAAACTTTCTCTGGTGTTTATTGTTTTTAGAAAATATCTAAAATCTTTAAAAAAAATATCTTGTAAAATGAAAGTTTAATTTGACTTTAACGGTTTCATTTATGTAGGCTACATAGACCTATACCTAAACTGTTATAGCTTGCTTTTGCTTGTTTTATATTGGTTTATTTATTTAATGCGGTTTTATCCGATACTAATTCTTTAAATTATATTTTAATATGGCTCAGGCAATTTTTTCAAGATTTGACACTTGTTTTGAGTCTACAAAAGGGGACAGGTAATTTGTAAAGATTTATGTCTTTCTGTTGTCTTTAATATGGTGTATAGATTATTATGCGTTATTGAAACATCAAGGGGACGCAACAAAGTCACTTATAAATTAAAATTGTATTATGCAACAGCCTTTAAAACGGAAACATAAGGGCGATTATAAGCAAAAAGACCTCAGCCTATAAGGTTAGATGTTTTCTTTCCCTTATTTATTTATTTATTTATTTATTTATTTATTTATTTATTTATTTATTTATGTGTTTGACGCATGTAACTCGTGTGCGATCGGTGTAATGACGGCAAGCCATCTTTCCCAGACTCGGGGCAAAAAAAAAAGTGTTATAAAAATAAAGTTGCCGCAGGACATAAACGAAGTCCTGCAAGTTTAGTTTTAATAATTTAGTTCCAGTTCTGTTCAGTTTTTTTTCTCAAAACGTCTGTTCTTCTTTAAAGTAAAATTTTAGTTTTTTGTTGTTGTTTTTTTTACTTGTAATGGCTCAGTATCTCAATATATATATAACTTAACAGCCACAAATATAAATAACACAACTTGCGGGTGCAACCAACAAGGGTTGTGCATTTTAGTTTAACTTTTTGAGCGTTATAAGCAGTTCGGTGTTAGTTTTTATATCAAACCGAAACTAAACAGCGCATTCTCTCCACCTCCTCGTTCATAACCAGCTGGACACACGCTGCTGAGGCAAGCAGGAGAGATAGCCTACTCCGTCATTCATAATCTTAGCTGATGTATCTGAGTCAAAAGAATATATTAAAGAGGAATGTTCTTTTAACAGTCCCGATACGTTTAATCTTTTTATTTTTTTTAATTACTTTTTTTTCCTGTCATTTCTCTTCATCAAATTATTTTTTAAGCTGCTTGATTATGTTAAAACAGAAAGCAGAGCCCGTCAATTGAGAGCGATGCATGTCATGTGTTGCATAATTGCCTTTTTTCCTGTGCGTGCGTGATCAATTTCTGATCCTTTTTTGCTCGGGCTCTCACACACAACAATAAAAATAAGGTAATAATCTTTAAACACAAATTCCGCGTAAGCAACCTTTTTATTTTTAGAGATGGTACATTTGAATTGCATTTGAATTGCCTCTTCCCACTTCCCCCACCTCAAAATTGAAAGTTGCAAAGAGAACTATAGCTCATTTACACCTTGCCTTAGCATCAATAGCAAAGAGCACAGCCCATTCACACCTCAACACAGAGCAAGTTTAGCGGAAGAATGTCAAATCAGAATCACGCAGATGAAGCACACCAGCAACTACTTTAGCCTAAGTTATATTGAAATAATTTAAAGAACAAAGTTATAAAAACTCACATTACATAAATAAACAATTAAAAATATGTTTAGGTTGTCTTTATTTAATTGCCCTCGTGATGATGGTGTGCTTTATCATTATGTGCGTTTTACTTATAACGTGATTCAAATGATGGATCTGCGACAGAGAAACTAGGGATTTTGGGAAACATGCATCACTATATCCTTTTTTCCCCAAACTGTGCATAGTTCAGCCGCAAGTTACTGTACGTCTTTTTTTGGGAAAGCACCCCATGTCCGCTAGTGCCGCGCGCCTCTTTCTCTGGGCAAAAAGGAGTTGATTTTTAAAATATTAAATATATAGATTAATTAAATATTCAGCAAAAGAGACATTTATTTCATATTTTACTATGCATTTCATCTGATAGGCAAATCTTTATAGCTTAATTAAACACATATTGTCAAAACCCACACATAGGCCTATTGTATGAAAATGAAAAGGGCATTTTTTGTTATTATTAGACTACTATTTATTTGTTGCCTAGGCTATTTTCACATTTTCACATTTGAGGTGCTTTATTGGCATGACAAGTAACTGTACGTTCGTTTTGCCAAAGCAGTGCAGCGTCGCGTCTCACAAACAAGACAAAAAGGGCAAAAAGGGCAGTAGTGCAAACAAATATGGGGGTTGTTGTTGCGCGAGTACTGAAGAGCGGTGTTGACTTGGTGTTGTCAAGAGCGGTGTTGTTGCGCGCCTACTGAAGGGCGGGACCGAGGGTGTGCCGCGTCGCGGGGGCACTTTTTTTGATCATTTTGGAAGGGCACTTTCTATCCAAGACTAAAAAGGGCATGTGCACTGCACAGGTTGAGCCCTATTTAGTGCACTTGATATGCAGCTCCGTCTCAATCAGCTGCTGAGGGCACAGCCGCTTCCCCACCGGCAGCCATGTCCGCTGCCCTCTTCTAACATGTTAGAAAATACTGCAAATCAAGCTGTCGGTATCTCCCCGCGGTTGAAATTGTTCGTTATTCGAAAAAAAAAAGAATAAATATCAGTGCGCAAGCTTTCTAGATTTATTTTAGGCCTATATTCAGCTGTTTTAATCTTGCAATTCTGATAACTTTTAGAGATAATGTCTGTTTTTTATTAACTTGTCTGTCATTTATTTCTCATTTGCTACTTATTTTATTAATTTGTTGATGTTAATATACTACATATAGTCTTGTATATGCATCTAAAATCCTTTGGCATTCAAATTTGCTTTGAACTTGAAAGAGAGAAAGAATCTGATTTTACCCGTCAGAGCACATTGCATATGCCTTTTTTTAATAACATTTATTTAACAAATATTTTAGCACATCGAAAGTAATTAAATTACCTGTCTTTTGATTAAAACCTTTATGCAAAAAGATCAGAAAAAAAGGCAATATATGCGACATGACATCGCTCTCATGCCACGATTTGAGGATAAATTCGCTTTTAGGCGCTGCTTTGAATAAAATAAAACTATTAAAAAGCACATTAAAGACACTCATAAAATAAAACATTAATAAAGGAGTATCTTATGAAAAACACCAATTGACGGGCTCTGCTTTCAGTTTTAAAAGAATCAAGCAGCTTTAAAAATATAATTTGCTGAAGAGAAATGACAGGGAAAAAAAGATTAAACATATCGGCACTGTAAAAAGAACATTCCTCTTTGATATATTCTTTCGACTCCGACACATCAGCTAAGATTATGAACGACGGAGTGTCTCTCCTGCTTCAGTAGCGTGTCCGGCTGGTTATAAAGGAGGAGGCGGAGAGAATGCGCTGCTTAGTTTCGGCTCGATATATTTAATTAAAAACTAACACCGAGCTGCTTATAACGCTCAAAAAAGTTAAACTAAAATGCACAAACCTTGTTGGTTGCACCTGCAGGATGCACAATGAACCTAACGCGCCATTATTTTAATTCTATATTCGTGAAGAATGAGCCAACCGCATATGCTAAGTCAGTCCTGTTGGTCGGGACTCTCTGCTTTATAACTTATTAGTTTATTACAATAATCACACTTAGCTTTGCCATCGTTCTTCACCACATATAGCCACTCAACACATCTTGCGGTCTATCTTTAATGTTTAGATTATTGAAGGTGCTATTGATGTTTTGAGAAAAAAAAAGTTAATAGTACTGAAACTAAATTATTAAAAATAAACTTGCGGGACTTCGTTTATGTCCTGCGGCAACATTATTTTTATTACACTTTAAGTGATCTGCTTGAGGTAGGTCACGTTTATCAATGGTAAGTTTTAGCCTAAGTTTACATCAATAACATAATGTGCATTGTCCTTTACCATACAAAAAAAGTAAAAAAAAACAAAAAAACATTTATTTATATAGCATTTATTTTTAAATGCATTAAAAAAACAAGCGCATATCTTAGCCTTGAGTTTGTTCACACTCTGCCTGTATTAACATAAATGCTGTATTTTAATATAGCTAATTTTGATTAGCTTTAACTGACAGCCTTTTCTTCTTTTTCCGCGGTTATGCGGCATTATATTTCACACGCATATGCAAGGTGACTAAATATGAAATTAAAATACAAAACTTACTGAGCCATTAAGTAAAAAAACAAAACAAAACCGTTATACTTTAAAGCGGAACATTGACGTTTTGAAACAAAAAAAACGGAACTGAAACTAAATTATTAAAAATAAACCTGCCAGACTTAATTTATGTCCTATTTTCATTATTTATTTATTTTCATTATTCGTTTATTATTATGTACTATAATTGAAACATAAAATGAGATAGTAAAATATAATCAACAACGAAAATGTAAATAAAAACGTAAATTAAAAACATAAATGAAAATATCTTGTCTTAGTCCTATCAAAATAGCAAACTACATCTCTCTATATTTAGACTAAAAGACTGCTTTATTTATTTATTTATTTATTTAAGACTACTTATTTGTACTGAATGTTTATGCTTTCACTTTAGTTGTCTTTCATTTCTTCAATTCTATTTTCCAAAACGAATCCTCTTTGCACTTAAAAAGTTTACAATAAACCAGGTAAACAAATTTTAAATGTAAGTTGAGGTGATCGCAAGTTCACAACTGTGAGGTGATGTGCTCTACCGGCAGAATAATCTATATTATTTTGCTGTTTTTTATATGCGCACGTTTAAGATTTGAGATAATAACATTGCCATGATAGTCAAAGAAATCAAAACATTATTTTTACCCCAACGCAATTTAATCGGGCACTGAAGGCTAATAACTTAATTCTTATATCTGCTTTTTGACTTCTCACCATGTATCTTTTCTGCAGCATAGTATAGTGTAAGAGCATGTCTATTACCAGAAAAACTAAATTAAAATTATATTTTAATTGAACACATCACATCACATACAGTAAGCTACGCCTACAGAACAGTCTGTTTAGCATTGTGAAAAGGCAAAGCTGAATATCTGTGGTTAAAGTGCCACCCAGCGGTCAAATGCTGCTGGCGCATCAAGTACCGCCGTCGCCGCGGTAAGAATGGCGGCACAAGGAACACATTGAAGTAGTAACATCTGTATATATGTGATATTTTAGTAATTTTCGTTGATTGAACCTTTTTCGCTACCGTCACAGACTCTGCTTCTGTCTGTCATGCTCAGGTCTGGTGATGATTGGTGTGATTATCGGCTCCAGGAAGGTGGGCATCAACCCTGATAATGTGGCCACACCAATAGCAGCGAGTCTGGGAGATCTGATCACTCTTTCTCTGCTGGCAGGAGTCAGCAGCACACTCTTCCAGTACAGAGGTGTGTGTGTGTGTGTGTGTGTGTGTGTGTGTTTGTCTGCTTATTCATTCATTATTTATCTTTACTTAAAAATAAAAATCTGCCATATTTACAACCTAAAATATGTGTGCTGCTCTGAATGTTGTACAGTGCCTTAAGAAAAGATGTGTTTGTAACAGTCATAATTAATAGCATTAATCTGGCGTTAACAAAGGCATAGTTCACCCAAAAATCACAATTTACTCAGTATTTGCAAACCTTTATGAGCTTTTTTTTCTGTTGAACAAAAAAGGCGATATTTTGAAAACTTGTAACTATTGACTTTCATGGTAGAAAAAAAACCCAAATACTATAATCAATGGTTTCCAACATTTTTAAAAATATCTTCTTTTGTATTCAAAACATAAAAGAAGCTTGTAAAGGTTTAAAACAAATAAACGGTGAGTAAATGATGAGGAAATTTTCATTTTTGGCTGAACTATTGCTTTAAATAAGTAAAAATTTATCAACTTTAAATGTCAACAAGTTAATTATAATGTATTGATATAATTAATTTAACCCTATATCACTTATCGTTATTATCATCAGTGTTTATGTTATATGTACTTGATTCTCACTTCTTATGTGAATACAGAGTGTGAGCTGTGAAATGTGTACCAGAAGAGGGCAGTAGAAACGCATATACCTTTATACCTTTTTAAATACCTTCTGGTCAGATATGTATCAGAAACAGAATAAGCTTTGTTCACTAAGTGTACGCAAACACACAAGGATTTTTTTTTTGTGTGTGTTTTTTCAGGAGCTACAGTACAGTACATACATCTATATCAACCCAAGAACACAGAATGACATTTAAATTAGTGGAAAATAAAATAAACAATACAAGTTCGGAAGTTTGGAATTAGAAGTGTGTGTGTGTATATATATATATATATATATATATATATATATATATATATATATATATATATATATATATATATATATGTGGTTTATGTGCAGTATTTGCATTGTTGACTTTTTTAATTGTACAAATTGGGTTTAAAATGTTAAATTTAAAAGTATTTACAATCAAGTGACTTTATGGGTTACAAAAACCATAAGCAGTCCAATCCTGTATGTTAATGACCAGAAAGAAAACAGGTGGCAACTGATGTGTTAACTATTTAAAGATAGACCATCAGGCCATTTACAAAGAGAAAAAAGAAATCATCTCTTGATTTAGTTTGAAGACCAGCGACCCAGCGACCTTCTTGCTGTGAGGCGACAGCACTACCTACTGCGCCACTGCTTCGCCCAAATTCAATATTCATATAGCAATATACATATTCAATATTCATATGTCAATAAACATATTCATATATAAATGTACATAATCGATATTCATATCAATATACATATTCAATTTTCATATATCAATATCCATATTCATGACTCATATATCAATATACGCTTTCAATATATCTATACGCATATTCAATTTTCATATATCAATATACATATTCATGATTCAAATATCAATATACTCTTTCAATATTCATATATCTATACGCATATTCAATTTTCATATATCAATTTACATATTCATGATTCAAATATCAATATACTCTTTCAATATTCAGATATCTATACGCATATTCAATTTTCATATATCCATATACATATTCATATATCAATATACGCTTTCAATATTCATATATCTATACGCATATTCAATTTTCATATATCAATATACATATTCATGATTTAAATATCAATATACGCTTTCAATATTCATATATCTATACGCATATTCAATTTTCATATATCAATATACATATTCGATATTCTTAAATAAATATGCATAATTGAAATTTATATCAATATACATATTTATTTTCATCTATCAGTTTACATATTCGATATTCATATATCAATATACTGTACATATTTAATACCCTTATATCAATATATATATTTAATATACATATATCAATATACATAATTAATATCCATATATCAATATACATAAACAATATTCATATATCCATATATTGTACATATTCAATATCCATATATCATTATACATATTCAATATCTATGTATCAATATTCATATTGAATATCCATGTTTTATATTCAATATTTATGTATCATTATACATAAAATGTGCATATTTCTTTTTATAACTATATTTGTTGTTTTCTTAAACACTCTTACACAATGACCTACAAATTCCAACCTTCAAACTTTTACAAAACAATGAAATGTATCATGAAATATGATGACAATGAAAGATATATATATATATATATATATAAATATATATATATATATATATAAATATATATACACACACACACAAACAATACATAAAAGTAAAATAATAAAATATATAAATACAATAAGTCAATAATAAATAAAATACCCATGACACAAACAAAGAAACAAACAAAAAAATAAACAAACAAAAAACCTTACAGTTTGAATCTAAATTAGTCTGATGCTCTTCAATTTAAATTTCCTGTAGAAGTTATGTCTTTAAAATAATCTATGAAAGGTTGCCAGATTTAATAAAATTTGTCTTTTTATGTACATCTTTAATATTCAAATCTATAATAGGAACAAATATAAAACATGGCTTTGTTTCTTCAACATTCTTCAGTATATGTTTATTTTCAATGGAAGACAGAAACTCGGAACAGGTTTTAAACAACTGAAGGGTGATTAAATGACTGAATTTTTGATGGAACTGTCCCTTTAAATCATATCGCCCGATATGTCAAATGGTCAGTAATTTGTCATCTGTATGATCTGTTTGTGTGCAGATGTGTGGTATTTGTCCCCGTTGGTGTGTGTTTTCTTTCTGCTGCTGATTCCTGTATGGGTGGTCATCGCCAGACGGAGTCCTCAGATTAAAGAGGTGCTGAAGTCTGGCTGGCAGCCGGTGATCGTGGCCATGTCCATCAGCAGGTACAAACGTAAATAACAGAGACACACTCTAAGTCAGTAATATAACAGAAATGTTATATTCAATTGAACTGAAAAGGAAACCAGCGGGACCACTTTAATTGGGTCAAGAAAGATTGTTTATTCATCATAATGCAGTTTACAAAATGCATCGATTTTTATTTATTTTTATTTTTTTTTTGGAAGGAAAATGTTTTGTCATGTACAGTTGAAGTCAGAATTATTAGCCCCCCTGTATATTTTTTCCCCAATTTCTGTTTAATGGAAATAAGATTTTTTTTTAACACATTTCTTAACATAATAGTTTTAATATCTCATCTCTACTAACTGATTTATTTTATCTTTGCCATGATGACAGTACATCATATTTGACTAGATATGTTTTAGGATGCTAGTATTCAGCTTAAAATGACATTTAAAGGCGTAACCAGGGTAATTAGGCAAGTCATTGTAAAATGATGGTTTGTTTTGTAGACAATCGAAAAAAAAAAATTGCTTAAGGGGGTAATAATATTTACCTTAATGTTTTTTTTATTTTATTTTTTATTAAATACTGCTTTTATTCTAGCTGAAATGAAACAAATAAGACTTACTCCAGAAGTAAAAAATATTATAGGAAATAGTGTGAAAAATGTCTTGCTCTGTTAAACATCAGTTAGGAAATATTCAGAAAAAAAATCACATGAGAGCTAATCATTTTGACTTCAACTGTATGTTATCCTTTTTTCCTGAATGAGTAAAAAGGTGTTATGTCAGACTGACAATAGACTGACATCTATTGTCGATCTGACATAACTCGTATTGACTGACTGACAGGCAGCTATACAAAAAAGATTCAAAATACACATCAAAAAGCTTGTAAAAAGAAGACATTTTTATTTATATTAGTGTAAAAACATTTGTAATTCTTATTTGGTCTATCTGGCATGTTTTTATAATTTTTACACACATTTTTTTTGAGACTGAACTTTATTCATAATTGTGTACATGGACTCCTGGCGAACATTAGTACAAGAAAAATCTGTCATTTTAGTATTTATTTTTAAATAAATTTGATAGCTTTTGATCAATTTTGAGGTTAAAAATCATTCAATTCCATTTATTCAGGCTAAATGGGGTTAATATTTGGTTTGTTATACGTTTTTAGGATATATTCAAAATGAAAATTTTTTACCAGTATTGAACATTATATATATATATATATATATATATATATATATATATATATATATATATATATATATATATAATGTTCAATACTGGTAAAAAATTGTATAATATATATATATGTGTGTGTGTGTGTGTGTGTGTGTTTATTTAGATTTCAATGCATTATGACATTAAAATATATTAGTTAATAAAATTATAAGCCTCCCTATAATATCTATTTATTTATTTATTTATTTATTTATTTTTAATTTCCCAAATGATGTTTAACAGGGCAAGGAAATTTTCACAGTATGTCTGATAATATTTTTTGTTCCAGATAAAGTCTTATTTGTTTTATTTCGGCTTGAATAAAAGCAGTTTTTAATTTTTTAAAACCATTTTAAGGTTAAGCAATTTTAAGGTTAAGCAATTTTTTTGTCCAATAGTCTACAGAACAAACCATCATTATACAATAACTTGCCTAATTACCCTAACCTGCCTAGTTACCCTAATTAACCTAGTTAACCCTTTAAATGTTATTCTATGCTGTATAGAGATGTCGTGAAAACATCTAGTTAAATATTATTTACTGTTATTTACTGTCATCATGGCAAAAATATAAAAAATCAGTTATTAGATATGGGTTATTAAAACTATTATGTTTAGAAATGTGTTGAAAAAATCAGTTAAAGTCAGAATTATTAGCCCTCTTTTGAATATATACATTTTTAACAAAAAATTATTAGCCCCTTTTGTTTTTATTTTTTTAAATATTTCCCAAATGATGTTTCTTCTGGAGAAAGTCTTATTTGTATTATTTCAGCAAGAATAAAATCAGTAAAAAAAAAGACACTTTAGGATTAAAATGATTAGCTCCTTTAAGCAATTTTTTTATTATTTTATTTTTTAAGCTAGTTTCATCAATGTAGATTAAGTCATGTGAATTCAACACAGTTTTTTAAACAATATGTAAATATTTACAGAGTTGTCAATTGTCAGTCAACAAATAAAGTAAATTTTCTTTCATTTGTTTGCATTTTCAGTTTTGGAGGTCTTATTCTTGATAAGACTGTGAGCGATCCCAACTTTGAGGGCATGGCGGTCTTCACACCAGTCATAAACGGTGAGTAAATGTCCATAACAAACCGCACTTTGAGCACAGATACCTTTCACATACTCCAAACCATACAGCCCTAGTACAAAAAAGAAACAGCAGTAGGCCTGAAAAACAAATTTGGAAATGTCACTTCACACTCCTCTTCAACCGCTCATCACAGTAAAATTGATCACATCTCTCTCAGTGTTTGGAACTCGTCTTGTAGATTCAGGGAGGCGATTGTTCTCTGCTGCCAAAATAAAACTGTCCCGTTCCAAATCGTCACGATAAATCAGGGCACTGGCTCTCCGCTCGCGACGTTTCACCGTACATGAAAGAAGTCAAGCATTTTGATGGGAGTTTAACTAATAGACTTAAAAACCTCAGCCGAGGCAGAGTTTTGTTTTGGTTTTACACAAAATATCACTTGTGCTGATTTATTAACTTAAGCAAAATCTGGTTTAGATTTGCCCTCATGGTTCTGTTCTTACCCAGATGCACATGTGCTCAAACCGTGACTCAACGTTATATTGATGGAAACTACACACATCCCAAAGGGAACTGAGCATGTTGGGTTGTAAAAGCGGTCTAATCCAGTAGTAGCTATTCTGACGTCTTCTCTAGTTGTTTATCAAGACAGATTTTATTCTGCTGGGATCTTCAATTCTGGTTTAATAATGTCATTTTTAACTGTTTCTAATGAAATATACCATGAAAAAGCCTGCAAAGAATGTGATCCCGATAAAATCCACAGATTTTTGAGCCCATCATTTATTCAATCAATCGATTTATTTATGTAAATGTGTCTTAAATGAGCTGTATGTAAGTTTTTGACTCTTTTAAAGCTTAAAAAATCATAATATTTTTGCAGATGTTTAAGAAATGTGCTAAGTGAACATTCTTGTTTATCTGTAAAGCAATGCTAAAGTCAGTTATTCTGCTTTGAAAATGTGAGTTACATGCTGGAACGCTGTCTTTGTTTTGGTTCTTTTAATCTGCCCACTGCCACTTTAGCCAATTATATTTCAGTGTATTTGATTCATTCATTCAGAAAGGCTCTCAAAGCATCCATCCGTGACCAAAATGCGACCTCTAGTGGTCAGTAGCAGACTCTGAAATGGGATGAAGATTCAGAGTTCCACATGAGCTTATTAATTAGCAAATAATATAAATATTACAAGCGTAAACATTAGGTGAGCAGGTTACATTGTAACCCAGTGTACTAATAATATGCCACTTGAGGAGATTTGCATTGATGAGCAATTTGGCTGTTTGCACCTGACGAAACACGACTGAAACATTAAAATACAGCCATTCAGAAGCACAGAATATGCACTCACTAGCCATGGGCTGGTATAAGATTCTGACAGTATGATAACCTTGGATAAAAACATCATGGTGTCAGTATTGTGATTGCTGCTCCAGAATAGATTCTATTTAAATGTCTGGTTAAAAAACAACCCCCCCCCCCCATTGAAGACAAAATATTAAATATTAAGAAACATTAAAATATTTTGGACTATTAGCTTTTGATGTTGCCCTGAAAATGAAATAAAATAGTTGTGAAAAACATGTAAATATAAACCAAAACAAATCTTACACACAGTATCTTAGGAACTGTATAACAGAATATGTTGGCGGTTTTAAAACCTTGACTTTTCCAAACCGCTGTAATCCTTGAAACAGTTTATTGTCCCATGTCTAGCACTCACTCACGAAATAGTAAGTTTTACAATCTAATTAATACACATTAAACCTCTTTAACATTATTAAATGTAAATGCTGAGCAAAAGTTCTTGTTAATCAGTTTGGACCAAAAGCCAACAAAAATATATTTTTCATTATTTATGTAACTGGCTTCATAATAAATAGACTTATAACAATGTTAAACTGTTAAACTTGTCATTTTAAATATATATATATTTAACTACTAGAAAATGTAGTTATATATTCTCTCTCTCTCTCTCTCTCTCTCTCTCTCTATATATATATATATATATATATACACACACACAGTTGAAGTCAGAATTATTAGCCCCCCTGTTTATTTTTCCCCCCAATTTCTGTTTAATGGAGAGTTTGTTTTAGCACATTTTTAAGAATAATAGTTTTAAAAACCTATTTCTAATAACTGATTTATTTTATCTTTATCATGATGACAGTAAATAATATTTGACTAGATATTTTTCAAGACACTTCTATACAGCTTAAAGTGACATTTAAAGGCTTAATTAGGTGAACTAGGCAGGTTAGGGTAATTAGGCAAGTTATTGTATAACAATGGTTTGTTCTGTAGACTATCGAAAAAAAATTTGCTTAAAGAGGCTAATAATTTTGTCCCAAAAATGTTTTTAAAAAAATTAAAAACTACTTTTATTCTAGCTAAAATAAAACAAATAAGACTTTCTCTAGAAGAAAAAAAATTATCAGACGTACTGTGAAAATTTCCTTGCTCTGTTAAAAATAATTTGGGAAATATTTAAAAAAATAAAATAAAATCAAAAGGGGGCTGATAATTCTGACTTCAACTGTATATATTATTTCACCATACAGTTAAAGTCAGAATTATTAGCCCTCTTTGAATTTCTTTTTTAAATATTTCTCAAGTTCTGTTTAACAGGGCAAGGACATTTTTTCAGTATGTCTGATAATATTTTTTTCTTCTGGCGAAAGTCTTTTTTGTTTTATTTTGGCTTGAATACAAGCAGTTATTAATTTTTTAACACCATTTTAAGGACAAAACTATTAGACCCTTTAAGCTATATATTTTTTCTATAGCCTACAGAACAAACCATTATTATTCAAGAACTTGCCGAATAACCCTAACCTGCCTAGTTCACCTATAAACCTAGTTAAGCCCTTAAATGTCACTTTAAGCTGTATAGAAGTGTCTTGAAAAAATATCTAGTCTAATATTATTTACTGTCATCATGGCAAAGATAAAATAAATCAGTTTTAAGAGATGAGTTATTAAAACTATTATGTTTAGAAATGTGTTGAAAAAAAAACTTCTCTTTATTAAACAGAAATTATGGAAAAAAATAAACAGGGGGTCTGTTAATTCAGGGGGGGCAATAATTCTGACTTCAGCTAATGTACTATGGTAAAAAAAGTGTATACAACTACATTTTCTTGTTTTGACACCTTAAAGTACGCCACTACGAAATGATTACATTTATTTATTTTTTTCGTGGTTTTTAGAAATAATCATTAGTTTTAACCCTGTTTATGTCTAAACTTTCATCCATAATGGTCTTAAAAGGGTTTTTAAAAGTCTTAAATTTGAAATTCATAGAAACCCTGTGAGCCTATTTCCCCAAAAAAACTGGAGTGTTCATTTTTAATGTCATTTCAGGCGTTGAGTTTTGCTAAATTAACGACGATGATAATAATGACAAAATTTCATGACTTTTAATGCCCCGCACAAATCCTAATAGATCTGCCGCTCTATTTTTCCAGCTGAACCCTGAGACAGACTGCTTTTTATTTGATCCCTCATTAACTAGCTTGATATTCACGTCAAGGCATTGCCCTCCTGCTGTAATATTCCTTATAGATCATGGACAAGTTTCCACAGAAAAGCTATTATAATCCTCTGAAATATGCCGAAAATGTTTATTTGAGTAATGTCAGCGTACACACTCCCCTGGACGGACGCTGCGTTCCAACACACGTTCCATTTGCGTTTCAAATGAGCGGGATATGAGGATTGTAATGGTGTAATGATTGGAAAGCGCTCGCATTCTTTCCTTTCTGACCTCGTCAGGTGTCGGGGGGAATCTGGTGGCCATCCAGGCCAGTCGTATCTCCACCTACCTTCATTTCTGGAGCGTCCCTGGAGTCCTGCCCTATAAGATGAGACAGCACTGGCCCAATCCCTGCGTCACCTTCTTCTCCTCAGGTGAGCTCACTGTCAAACTATTTCTCAATTCACTCCTTCAGACGCCGGAGATAAAGCCGGCAATTAGTCGTGTTTGCTGGTGATTATGGCTTGGGATTTGAACAAAGCCTGAACTCTGATGTTTACACTTGAAATCATTAATCATCCGTGCCGTATGTGGATTGGACGTTGATATCGTAGGCTGTGCTGTTTGTTGAGGTGGAGTGTGCTGTTCATATTTGTAAGTTGTTAAGTTATGATTTTACAACAGAAAGGACAAAAGCTATTTTCGTCAGCCTTTAGTTAAGACGTAAGTGCAATAATTCTTTGCAAATATTGTCCTAAAGGGTTAGTTCACATCAAAACAAAGGTTCGGTCATCATTTGCTTGTCACTTATATCATTCCAAACCCACAAGACATTTGTTAAACTTCAGAACACAAATTAGGATTTTTATTGATAGTTTTTATTTTAATATACAGTTGAAGTTAGCATTATTAGCCCCACTGAATTATTAGACTGCTTGTTTATTTTTTCCCTAATTTCTGTTTAACGGAGAGAAGATTTCTTCAACACATTTCTAAACATAACAGTTTTAATAACTCATTTCTAATAACTGATTTATTTTATTTTTGCCATGATGACAGTAAATAATATTTTACTAGATCTTATTAAAGACACTTCTATACAGCTTAAAGTGACATTTAAAGGGCCATGACACCCCCCCACTTTCGGTTAAAGTCTACTTCAGAATTTTTTCAAAAGATGCATGATTAATGGGCGTGGAGCTCCGCGAGCATCGGGCAGGAGTGGGTGTGGCCAGCAGGGGAGAACGTGACCGAACAACTGTTGTTGTCAGTTAGCTCACAAAATGAGACACAAACCGTGAGGAGACGCATGAGACGCATGATGATAGTTCACAAAGTTAAAATGCAAAGAAATGAACAGTGATTTAATGCCCTGCTACATTTGTTATTCGTAATTTCATATTCACATAACCACAATTTATATCATTATAAAGATAAGTGTGTTCATGTAAACACTATAAATGAGGACTTCTCCCTCAATCCCCGTATCCAGCAGACTCAGTGCAGCAGGTCTCCTGACTTCTGACAGGTGCTAACATTGTCTTAAATGATGCTCAACACACACAAATCTGTTAATATTAAAAAAAGTTCTCCAGGGTGTCCTGAACCTTTAAAGGCTTAACTAGGTTAATTAGGGTAACTAGGCAGGTTAGAGTAATTAGGCAAGTTATTGTATAACGATCATTTGTGCTGTAGACAGTCGAGAAAAAATATAGCCAAAAGGGGCTAATAATTTTGTCCCTAAAATGGTGTCTCAAAAATTAAAAACTGCTTTTATTCTAGCTGAAATAAAACAAATAAGACTTTCTCCAAAGGAAAAAATATTATCAGACATACTGTGAAAATGTCCTTGCTCTGTTAAACATCATTTGGAAAATATTTAAAAAAGAAGAAAAGAATTCAAAGGGGGCTAATAATTCTGACGTCAACTGTTTATCTATATTTTAAGTAGGGCTGCATGATATTGCGATGACACTGCAATATTTTGCTTTGCTGCGATATGATTATAACATCACAGGTTTAACTAGCTGTATTCGGAAAGATTGATTCTTTCTGCTTACACAACAAATTAGTATAAATACAGCACTACAGCATACAAAAGAGAGAGATCAACTTAGAATATCACTTACCAGCATACCTGCCAACATGTCTGAAAATCTGGGAGACCGAGGGGAGGGGGTGTTCGGGGGTGAGGTCTCTAAATAATACTGTTGAGAACCGGGATAGGATGCAGCAGGTTTTGAGCGGCCGCTGCGATCGGGTACTGTATAAAGTTGGCGACCCGGGGGTGTTTACTGTATCAAAGAGGGGGGTTTGGGGGGGGGGGAATTATGGGAGTTGTCCGGAAGAAATAAAAAAAAAAAAACGGGATGGTTGTGGGAGATTGGTCTGAGTTTTCCAGGGAAAAACGGGAGTGTTGGCAGGTATGCTTACCAGTTTAATGATTTGATCTGCTGTAGTTAGAAATCAGATTGTCATAATCTTCTAAGCTTATTATGTGGTTCTGCTGCTATCTTGTGGATAGAAAACATCAACCATCTTTGGTCTACTCTATGGTAGGCTAATGGCTGTCGACGAGCTCTCTCAGAAATTAATATTTTAAAATAGGCTCTATTCTTACTAATAAACTGCATAATTGCAATATAAACAACTACATTCTTGACTAAAAAGGCTTCAAAAGTACATCATGTTGTCTAAAAGCAGTAATATTTTGTTTTGTTGCGAAATGATTATAACTTCACAGGTTTAAGTAGCTCTATTCACAAAGATTTCTTTAATTTAGATCAACTGTGGTGATCAAGTCTTTTACTCTGCAGTGCATCTCTATAAATATAATAAATTACAAACATAAATAAATAACAGCAAAAATAAAAGTAAAACAAACAGTGCTTTCTGGTTTTCTGGGGAACGTATGAAAAAAAATTTTCAAAGATGATTCCTTGGATTTAATTTTTTTTTTTACGTTAAGTGGTTGTAAACAATTTATTTGGGCTGAATTTAAACAAACAAATTAAGTTGAACATTATTAAACTTAATTTGTTTGTTTAAATTCAACACAAATAAATAGTTTGCAACACTTTTTTTCAGTGTTCAAGGACAGAAATTGATCTAATGTAAAATAACATGGTCATAATTGTATAAATATTGTTTTTAAGAATCCTGCGATGTGGCTATTGCAGATACACACATTATGATAGAGCTGGGCGATACGGCAAAAATGCCATCTCTAATTCTTTTCTGTATTGAATGATAACAATGTACATTCCAATATAAGTTTTGAATACTTTCACTCAGGAGTGAACTCGAAGTCTGCGCGGGTGCTGTTCCTCCTGGTGGTTCCAGGTCACCTCCTGTTTCTTTTTGCCATTAATATGCTTCAAGGAGGCCACACTGCCATCACACCTGCATTTACCTGCTGCTACCTGAGTGCTGCGCTGCTTCAGGTCAGGCTCTCTGATTTCTTCTAGAAATGTGGATGTACTGTCTACACAACTATGCAAGCATGTCATTATAGATTACGCACAAAACAATTGTGAAAAACATTTCCTCACTGATGCTGAACTCATTTTTATGTTTTTTTTTTCTCTTGAGTTTCATCATTTTTATGCAAAAACAATCTCTTAGGTAAAATGTGAAAAAGAATTGTGTAAATGCATCAGCCGTCTAATCTACTTTTGATTAAATATTGAGTTTTACTTTCAATATTAAAAGTGAAAAAAATATGTAGTGAATCATATAGAACATTTTAAAATGGAAAATTCTTGGATGCAGATTACTAAAAAAGAGCTTAAATGTTTGAGTATGTGAATAATTTATTTTTAACAGATTTAAAATTACCTTTGCATGTCGTTTATGTTGTTTGGTTCTCGTATTTTTATACTTTTAAAATCCATCTTACTGAGGTGGTCTGGTTTAATAAAACATTTTTATTTTATTAAATAACAAAGGTTGATATTTGAAGTAAAAATGTATAAACCTTTGTTTAACAAAAAATACAGTTGTTTAGTCAGGTTAATGTGTTTAGCAGTTTAATGTTTACTAAAATTAGCTGATACAAGTTTGATTTTAAGACAGTATAATTTACTTCAGTTCACTCAAAAATGAAAACGACCTACTTTATTTTTAATTATTTATTTTTCCTCGTGTTTTTTTTTGGTAAAACAAAAAGAAGATATTTTGAAGAATGTTGTTTTCTTGGTAAACTAATACTATAGGAGTAAATGAACGCCAGCAACCCATACCTGTATGCTTAAAAAATATCTTCCTTTTGTGTTCAACAGAAGAAAAACTCAAGATAGGTTTGAAACAGGGATGAGTGAATTATGACAGAATGCATTTCTAGGTGAACTTTCACTTTTAGTTAGTTCTTTTACTAAGATTATAATACTAAACAGTAAATGAATACTATGGTTCAGCCATTTTAACTAATGGTACCTTAATTGTAAAGTGGTCTTCGCTCTAGCATTAAATTGCTGCACAAGCAACATTAGAGCATGTTGAAAACCATTGTTTTGTATTTTATTTTGTTAAATATTTCATGATATAGTGATGAGTTAAAAGTGGCATTTGATGCATTTATTGCCTCTTCGCTGTAGAAAATTATAAAGAATTATGTACTGTAAAGAGGAATTGGACATGAAAATAAAAACAACGGTTAATAAAACACTCCAGACTATTAGAGTTAAACAGTCGAGTTGACCATTTTTGAATCCATTCAGCCAATCTCCAGGTCTGGCGGGAGCAGTTTTTACTTAGCTTAGCATAAGTCATTGATTTGGATTAGACCATTAGCATCTCACTTAAATAAAGCATTTAATTTTTGTTTCGTAAGACTGACTGAAAATGAGAATTTGCTATAATATGGCTTGGAACTATACTTTCAGTCCTGCATAATAATCGAGGGACTTTGCTGCCGTACTATGGCTGCAGCAGCGGCAATAATATAAGACAGCACTGTTACTCATCAGCGGCAATAATATAACACAGCACTGTTACCCATCTATTTTCAAGTGCTGAGTAATATCATTGCACCTGCTGCAGCCAAGGTATAGCAACATAGTCCATTGATTGGTATCCATGAATGAACATATAGTGCGTAGCCATGTCAGCAGAGAAAATGACCAGTTTTCCGTTGGTGAATAGTGTCACTACAGACAAACAGAAAAATCATCAAAACTTTTTTTCTTTTTGAGAGAGAGATGCTAATGTTCTAATCTAATGATTGAATGATCTATGCTAAACTAAGATAAAAGTGCTCCCACCAGACCTGGGCCCAGTTTTTCTAAAGTAGTCCAGTGGGATTTTGGATCATGGATTGGATCAAATCTTGGTAATGGGTTTTTCAAAGGTAACAGAAGGACTTTGAATTAAGATCAGACCTCGTAATCTAATCTTACATTTGATTTGTATCAATCCTTCCCTTTGGGTTATTCAACAGTTTGAACTCAGACAACAACAAAGCAGTATTGTATTAGAACAAACTAAAAAAAAAAAAAAAAAAAAGTTGGTTGATTGCAGTGTTTGTGTTTCTTACCATTTAAACAAATAACGGCTGTTTGTGTCCACTGGTATTTTGCTTACCTGTTGTTCTTTGCTAAGCCAGTAGGCTACACTGTTGGTTCCGTTTAAGGCTCTGGTAAACATCATCTTAACATTTAGCATTTGGACCACAGTGATCCAACTCAATGTTCCTTTAAAAACTATCATAAGAGTAAGATAGATCAGTTAATCCAGGATGGCAAAGCATGGGATTTCCAAATGTGGACCAATTTGATTCAGATTAAATGTTTTAAACTAGGCCCTGGAGATCATCTGAATGAATTTAAAACTGGACTGTTTAACTTAAACAATACTTCCCCTCAGAAAGTCTTCCATTAACACTTGTTTTTATGTGCAACTTCTGTTTAAACATTTTTTTAATACATGCATTAAATTAATCAAGCGTCACTTTCAGGTCAATGTATCATGAAACATAACACAAAATGATATACAACACAATGGTTTTCAACATTATTATTCTCATGTTTACTTTTTTTTAATAGTAAAAAAAAAAAATGTCAAGAGTTCCTTTTTAAAAATGCACGTGAAAAAGATAGTAGTGTTAAACCCTGTTTTTCTCCACAGGTGGGGATCCTCATTTACACAGCAGACTTGATTGTGCGTTTGATGTGGAGGAAAAGCCTGGACCCAGATAACTTCTCCATCCCATACCTGACTGCTCTGGGAGACCTGTTAGGCACGGGTTTCCTTGCCCTGTGTTTCCGTCTGGTCATGTTAGTGGAGGGACTTGGCTTATAAAACCTCAAACCCTTCAGAGGACCTGTACTGCCCACAGTGGTGCACACGATAGGACTGGAAATATCAAATCCCCTGTAGATCATTGGCAGGTATGGACTGCTACCTGATGGTCTGTATATGATTATATTCTAGGTGTGTTGCCTCAATGATGCTGCTTTCATACACACCAGCCGCCTGATACTGTATAGCAAGGCAGAACTCTAGCATCACTTATTTTTGTGCCATGTTAAAAATAGAAGTTTACCAAAATGTAAAGGGATAGTTCACCCCAAAATGAAAATAGTCACCATTTACTTATCCTTCCAAACCGGTGTTCTGATGAGCACCAAAGAAGATATTTTGAAGAAGGTTGGAAAACTGTTAGGAAAAACAAACATAACTATGGCAGTCAATTGTTACATGTTTCCAATATTCCTCAAAATACCTTGTGTTCAACTGAAGGCAAAAGTGAAAGAGAAGTAAACTATGACAATTTTTGGGTTAATGATTCCTTTAAAGATTCTTTTGTTATCCCTAGTGAATTTCCAGAGTCTCTGATTTAGATTAGTTTTTAAGTAAACAAGATAACTTTGAAGGTCATTCCTTTCCTTTGCTATTTAAGTAACAGTTTTAATGGCTGCTAGATATTCATATACAGAGGGCCAGACGTGCCTCAGTTTGTACATTTTTCCTCTAAATTGGATAGACATCCAATCATAAATCATATTTATTGAATGTACCAGTGTTCACTTGAATGACTTGATAACAATGAATTTGTTGATGTGGTAATTTATTTATTCTTCACTGTGAATTATAATTTACCCTAATCGCATAGTTTCTACAGTTTGTGTGTGGTGGTGTTTTAAATAGGAAATGGTGTAAAAAGTATGTCAAGAAAACAAACAAAATCTTGCTTTTGTACCAAACATATGTGTGCCTTAAAATAGACAAGATATGAGATCACACTGTTCCCTACTACAGAGAAGAAAAAAAAAGAAAGAAAAAAAACCTTCAGATAAAGTTTGACCCTTCAAAGCAAGACTCAATATTGGCTAGTGCACAAAGTCACTCACAGTTTTGCAGCACATGTATCCCCACAAGCTTTCAAAACCGGTGCAAACTGTTAAGTTACATCACAAGTGGCACACACTGTTGCCACACTCTCAACAGCTCAGAGTGTTGAAGCTTTCCCCACTCTCACACCAATAAACCTCCTGCAAGACATTCATATTAGATACCATCGGAACAATGAACATTTGACAGGACAAAAGCATTGGGACTTCTCTAATGCTCAAATCAAGACACAACGTTCCCCCGAATATAATATGTTGCCTGTCAAAGTGTGTTTTAACCTAGACCCTCTTGTGGTTATGAAATGTTGGCAGATTCCAGCTCAGCATTCAAACAGGGAATAACTAACTAGATTGAAACTGTTTTCCAACAGCAATTTTGGAAGGCCTGTTGTGCAATGTGGCACACAAGGTGCCCACTGTGCTGCAGTACACGTCTGCCTGTCAGCAGCTTTGTATTCTTACCCTTACTCATCAGCAAGATTTCATATAAATGAACCATCAACCGAAATAAAAAAATTCAAAATCTTTAGGTGTCATTTTGACCAAGTGCTAATGAGCCACAAGAACACCTCATAGCTATGAAAATGAGCAAGGCTAGTTTAAACTTTACTGTAGTGCACTTGTTTGAAGGACAAGATACTCTTGTATTGACTTAAACACTGATATCTCACTAAAAACTTTCAATCCTTAATGCAATTTCACAAGATGAGCATATCCTCGCGAGATCATGCTGATGTTTGACCTGTAATGCCCAGTGGGTAGTTTGTGCCTCCACCTGCATCCATAGCTCAACAAGAGGTGCAGTGATCAGGGTCTACCTTTCTCCAACCACAGCTATGCACTGTTTACCTAGCCTGCTGCATGCTAAAGGGGACTCTGTGAGAAAAATCATTTCAGTTCAGAGTAGGTAAACCAGCCAATGCAGACAGCCTTGCAACCGTTGGAGTCTAAATTCATACCCTTGACTTCCTCCAACGCATTACAAGATATCTGATGGAGAAGGTGATGGTGTTACCTTTAGACTTGGAAACTCCCTTTGTGATTGGGCCTAAGGTCTGAAATCATATCTGGGGAATGTTAGAAAGGAGTTTTTCGAGACCGAATGCAAGGAATCTCTTGGAGATTAACGTCAAGGCTCTGCTGGTTCCAGTTCAAGAGCAAACTCTGCAATAAATACGCCGTGTAAACAATACCATAAATATAATTTTGGGTGGTGAAGAGTACAGGAGATGAGACATTCACAGCATTTGTCCGTTGATGAAGAATCCTGCTTCACTTATCAACACTTGGAAGGACAAAGGCACATATTTGGAGCTCGGTCGAAAGTTACCAAAGCCAAAGGAATTGCAGACAGTATTTCATGAACTTCTGGGATGGGTTGCAACAACAACCCCTGCCAGCAGTCATCTGTTCACAGTGCTGAATTTCGCCTCAGGGGAGCGAGAGCCACACCGTAATCAAGGTGCTTCCTCTACAGGTTCCCTTAGGCAGACCACTCCAATCCAGGCGCAAGAGTGAAATTCATCAACTGTGCCTCATGACTTTTCAGTGAATCTTGGGATCAGTTGAAACGCGCTCAGGCTTCATCTCAACTTCAAGTACGCAGGCATAGAATAGTTAAAAAGCAAGAAATCCATTCGGTAAAGGTTGTAAAGTTTCTTCTGATAAAACGGACTGATGTTGTCAAAGAACTTGGCAGCCATGTCGCCCGTGGTCCTGGTGCTTTTCGAGGTGGCTGGGAATTTGACCTCTCCTTCTGCACCTGCTAGCTTTAGGATGTAGCGCGAGTCTTGCGCAAGAGTCTCATATTTGCCCACCACATCGTAATGGATCAGGCAAGGGTGGCAAAGTGAGTGAACTCTTTCCCAATGCTCATTAAATGGTTCCTCCCTCTGAGTCTGAGGGTCTACTAAATAATACACAAACTCCTCAAAAGAGACGTCGTTGCCTTTTTCCAGGGCTTCAGCCTGGGGGTCCGCACGATGCCTCTGGATGATTTTGGTCCCGTATCGTTTATGAAAGGCTGTGTTGTAGCTACGGGTGAACTTATTGCGATAGGCAGAGACTAATCTCTCGAAGGGTTCACGCACGAAAACAAACTTCAGATATGTGCGTAGACGCTTGTTGATCTCGGCTGTTGAGTACTCCGAAAGCGAGCGCAGATTGCCTGCTATGTGGGCCTCATTGGCGGGAATAGCCAGCGGTTCACGATAGCGCCCGTCACCTGTTAGCACCATCATCACACGCTTCCAATTGGTGCACGCCACTTTGGGAACATAGCAGTACAGTAACTTGTGCTTATCGTCCACTATGAGGTGGCGAAGATCCTCGGGGCCGAGTACCCGTCTTTTGCGTGTATGTGTGTGACAGGTTTCCTCCAGGAGTTCCCTTCGACCCTGCATAGTGGCCTGCACTGCAGATTGCTCCAGCTGGAGGACAGGAAGAAATGTTATAAGAGGAAATCAAATGAGGTGGGGAAAGTCAACATTTGTGTTTCATGAAAGACAAAAGTCACTTGGGTTCAGAATTTCATTTTTGGGTGAACAATTGATGAAATCTGGAACGGGTGGTTCTTAGCAGTAAACCACAGATTGCACTACATGCAAACACACGCATTTGGGCGACTTTAAAAGATTAGGCAGTTGTCTTTGAGGGAAGTTCTTGTGAAATCATCAGGCACATTGCGGTTATGGGAGGGTAACGGTCTTGCCTGGGGGATGATAGACAGATGGGTTTCATAAAGGCAAGCATTTGATGAGCTGGTAGTGACTCAACTGAATTCTTATTAAAATGTTCCACCTTAAAGGGATAGTTTGCCCAAAAATGACAATCCTGTCATCATTAACTTTTGTTCCAAACCTGTATTTTAAATATGCTTATAATTGTCATTTAAACATTGCTATTTAATGCAGACGAAGACATTTTATAAAAAAGGTTTAAATATACATATCATCCCACATTTACATTTCTCCAGCAAATAATGTATGTCATTTATTTTTAGTCATTTGGTTTGCAAGTGTCATCATGAAATGATGACGTAGTATAAATTAGGGTTGTTACGATATAATAATCTACTATACCAGCCATATACCAAGTAGTATTGCGATACTGTACAATGTTGAATTACTTTGGATTGTTCATACAACTCAAATTATAGAGAAAATTGTCAGAAATACTATATTTTATGTTATAATGGGCCTACTTGAATGAAATTCATAATTCCCTTAAGGCAAAAAAAGTATTTTTGCATGTCACTTCTCCTAAAATTATCGATTCATTTAGTTTATTTTGTAGATAACTGACCAACAAAAATATATTAAAATAAAGATATAAATCATACAGAATGAAATTTGTTATAAAAGAGCATTTTTTTCAACAAAAATAGCCTATATGAAGTGCTCAAAAATTATTCCAATGTTTCCTGTTGCTATTTTTGGTTTTTCATCTATTTTTCCCCCAGTCTTATCAGGTAACAATCCAAAGTAATTCAACATTTCACTTTGAGAGTCATTCTTTTAAAGAGATTGTCACGTTTGTTGTAGCTACTAAATCATATTAACATGAACCGATTCAGATGTGCAATCGAATTGAAGCGTTAGATAACATGCAATAGGCTACCATAAAAGACGCAAGTTCTACAGTTTTGCAATCTTAAAGGTCTTCACAGACTATTCAAATAAAATGCTCTATTGTTGCATAAACATGCGAGTATTTTAGTGACTTTTGCAACACATGCAACATTATCTATTGTAGATAAACCATTAATGACGATACTACCGTTTACAAACTACAGTGGCGTTACCAGTATTTGAGCCATAGTATTGCGATACTACCATAGTACTGGTAAACTGAGCAACCCTACTACACTGAAAAAAAAATATTCTGCAAAATTGTTGCAGACAATTTATATGGGTTGAATTTAAACAAATTAAATACAGTTATGTTCAAACTTCTTTTGTTTATTTAAATTCAGCCCAATTATATTGTTTACAACTTAACTTAAAAATTCTTAGTAAATCCAAGCAAACATCTTTGAATACATTTTTTTTTTTCGGTGTATAAACCGGGTTCTGGGGTGAATTTTCAGCATCATTGGTGTAGTCTTTAGTGTCACAGAAAGTTTCACACTTCCACTGTTAGAAAATTCAAATAAAGTTTGGGTGTGTATTTTTATGAGCTAAAACTACACTTGTAACGTTTATCCGAAGACTATAACAAGTTATATACCAACAAATCTTGTCAGACACATTTAAGATCTACATTTCTGCACACTTCGCTATTGTAGAGCGCATGCAATTTCGTGTAGTCATTCATAATACAATCATCATTTCATGAAGACGCACGCAAACTGACTAAGTTGTTTGATGTGATTGAATGGAGGTTCTTCAGGAATGTGAGGTTGTTATTTTAGTAATTTGACTTCCACTGCCGTTAAAAGCTATCCCTTAAACACCAGGGGCCTGAGGAAAACACTCTGTGTCTTTTGTTGATTCAACATATTGCCCTAAATAATATAATTTATACCTTAAAATAGCATAATTACAACCTTACGTTTACATCGTCCTATTTAATAATTCTATAACTTAGGATAAATGTTAACATCATTTCATGATTTCAGCTGCTGCAATATCATACCTGGTCATTTTCCTGTAGTGTCTGTAAAGGACTTCTTCCTGATTTAACTGGGAAACTGTCCCGACCCGAAATCTGTTCAGAAGCT